AAAAAAAAAAAATAGCAAGAAAAAGAAGCAAGGATTGGTATCTCAATTGAGGCTTTGCAGAATATGATAGAATTCATAATTTTACAAATATATAATATAATGGAATTTGTCTGTGTTTGAGATCCAATGCTCCTATTCCACAACCATTTGAATCAATCGAGCCACGACACGGCTCCAAAATTATTCGACAAATCTAACACCTAATTAGTTCTTCTGTTGCAAGGAAGTATTCAAATAAGGATCATCCTTGTGCTTCAAATACAGTGGCATTTCAAGGGCATTCTCGGCAATTTTCCTGTCTTCGTGGATTTTAGCTATCAGGCTCTCGAGTGATGTAAAGTTGGCCTGTACAATTATTGCTTTATTTGTAAATTATTACAAGAATACTTGTGTGGTAACATATATATCTTGTCACGCGTTAAAATTGTAATTTCGGAAGATAATGGTAGCTTTATATAATTAGGCTAAACTATAGAGGTGGTGTTTGCACAATTAAACTTAAAATCAGTTCTGCATGTGTGTAGAACTTTAAGTGAATTTAACATACCTCTGGTCGTATATAGCCAACAATAACGAGACGCAAGTCCTCACCGTAAAAGTCTTCGTCAAAATCATGAAGTAACCATGGCTCCTGAAAAAAATATCTCGATCGAATACGAACATGTTATTTTACCAAAAAATGAGATAAATAGAGCATAAGATAGAAAAAAAAAAGGAACAAAAAAGAGCTAAATGGCTCACAATTGTCTTCTCCGAGTTGTTGAAGTACGGGTTCCAACCTATGCTCATCACCATTTTATAAATTCCGTGTTTCGATAGTCCAGCCCACCCGAAATAAACACCAGAAGGATGTTCGGAAAGGAGATCAGAGAATCCCTCAGTAGACAAATTAGCTGGAAAGGAGATGATTTTATAGATGCAAACAACCATTAAGAGTCAACTAAATAAAAAAAAATGAATAAATAAGGAATTTCGCAGTTTTTCTATTGCATTAGCATTCTGTATTTCCCTTTGCGCCTAGATTGAATTTTCTGTTTTGTTGGTTAAGCCATAGCAATTTTACTCCCAAGATTCTAACATTCCTTCGGCTTTTGCTCCTGCGATTTAATATTTTGCTGCAATTTCAGTTCTTTGAGGACTAAAATTGCAACAAAATTTTAAATTACAGGACTATAATTGCAAAAAATAAATAAATTACAGGACTTATATTGCTATAAAAAATTCATCCCAAAGATAAAAATTTGCAGGACTGAAATTGCAATAAAATTCAAATTACATGACTTGTATTATTAATAAAGAATTCATCCCAAAGACATAAATTTGGGAATTTGTTGCTATTTCAGTCCTTTGAAGATTGAAATCGCAACAAAATATTAAATCACGGGACCACAAGCCGAAAAGTTGGAATCTTGGGACTAAAATTGTTGTGGCGTTGAACCAAGCAGAACTAAAAATGCATTTTTGTCTTCACTTTGCCCCCTGTTCGATCTTACATTCTATCGCCTCATTATTCAAGGGGGATTAATTTTGCTCAAGAAATAATTGGATAAAAATGACATTTAAGATAATTCAAAAATCACAAACCTGTCGGGATTCCTAGAACCTTCGAGCCACGGCCAAAACCTTTGACGACAGGGCCACCAATGTGCCAAGGTTCTATTGGTAATGTACCTTCTATCCCTGCAGATTAAAGATGGTTCTTTAATTTAATCCAAAGCTCAAAGACTTACAAAAATTTTACGAAAAAACCCCAAAGTCGAGAAAAGAGAGGTCTCACAGTCATTGAATGCGGGTAGACCCCACTTTTCAGGTTGCAAATCGAGTAAGGAGTTAATCACTTCATCCGCTAACGTGAAAAGGTGGGATTGCTTGGGTAAGGATGGGATAGCAACAACTTCCGTTCCAGCCGCCTTACCGGCAGTCACACCTGGCCTTACAGTACAATAAATGTATCTCAAAATACGAAATTATAATTGTAAAAATTCAAAAAATAATAACTCGTTATCTTTAAAAGATACAAATAACCACAAAATGATCAAGATCACGTGACACTCATAATCATGATAATACTACGAACAATCATGGAATATTGAAAATGATCAAGATCAAGTGACACTCACAATGAATCTTCAATAACGAGACAGCTCGAAGTATCCATCTTAAGCCTCTTTGCAGCTTCGATATAACTTTATAGAACAAAGCACAAGATCAATTATAACGCATAAACTCAATTCCTACAAGCCAAAAGAGTAACCAAAATGACAAGAGAATATTTTAATTTGTTTGCATTACATGTCGGGAGATGGCTTTCCGACAGGGACTTCATCACCACCGACAATAATGGAGAATGATTCTTTCCAACCTACACGTGAAAAAAAAGGTAAATGAACAAAGATATAAACCAAAATATTAATGACTAATCTGGATGAGATTTTTCACATTTAAGTACCCTTGTGGGAAGATATCTTGGTTTCGATATTTTTCCTTGAAGAATTCGAAGCCAAGGCCATAGGAATACCATGTCCTCTTAAATGGCTAATTAACCTGTTAGCACCAGGTAGTGCTTTGATATTGCACCACCTCCAAACAAAAACAAAACAAAACAAGTCGGTAGCTTTTTATCATCCCAAAAGCCTAAAAATTCGAATGATCCTACTATATGAAACAAACTCAAAAATAATCATTTTTCCAGATATAATCACTAGTAAAATTCATATGATGTCAATGAACGATTGGCTAAAATAAATATTACTTGTCAGCAAATAATGGAGCAGTTTCGGACAGAAGTTCATCTGTTGTAATGGGGAGTTCATAATCCTCGACAATAACTGCTGCAGCTTCGTAGGGTGTTTTTCCAATAAGTCTATCCACTCCTCGTCCATCCCAATGCTTTCCATACTTAACTAAGTAAACTTTCAAGACTTCATTCACCATGCCATCTGGCACCCAAAAAGGAAAGGGAAAAAGGAAGAACAAAAAAATAAATAAAAAAATCAGATAAGGGAAACAAAAGCACACAACAGTTGGAAACTAAGGCACATACCAACACAAGTTTGAAGCCAAAACAATAAAAAGTAAATAAAAAGAAAAAAATAAAAGTATATAACACGTTGGATGAGAGTAGTAGTTAGAGGAAAACATGGTTGATCTACCAATCATATAGGGAAAACCATGGTAAGGGGCTAATATGAAGACATAAAATGCGCATTTAACTACTCGACTGAATTAGAAAATAAAGAGAACGAGTACAAATATGTCTCGCATATAGAAGTTTCAGAAGGGTGTAAAATTAAAATTTAATAGGAAGACTTTTACCTTTCTGAATACATAAATTAAGTGAACATTAATTTATGCAGGAAAATATAGTCAAAAGCACATAAAGGATCAAACAAACAGCATTCATATTTCATACCTGTGTTAAGAAGTGTACCATCCAAGTCGAGGATAACACAAGACACGAGCTTCCTAAGAGGCTTTGCCATTGAAATGTTGTAGCAAATGAAATTATGTTTACGGTTCCATCAATCAAGGGTTAGCACCTGCTACTAAATGTCAAAGAAATATTCAGGCCAACTCAGTCGAATGATGAAATGAATTTGATTAAGGCCGGGATAATAAAATCTGAACGTGAATTCAACTTTTTTACTGCAAAAGGAATGAAATGACAGACAAACTCAATATATTTAAGAACCATAATAATAACACAGAATGTATTTCAAAAGTTCAATCCCACAAAGAAAGAACATTCATTCATGATAAGGTGACTTAGACAGCAATGGCCCAATCCGGGCCTGGATTGGCACCCGAACAATATGTGCCCAACCCATTGGACCCATCAATGCAAAAAGAAATACAAACAACTTGGATTTTTCGAGATTCTGAAGAAAATATTGATAGAATGCAACAATTAGGATGTTTAAAATCAATCTAGAATAAAGGCAGCACTTTTAACCACCCTTTTAGCTTGTTAGCTCATTTAACTACACTCGGTAATCTTTGGGTAGCAATTTTAACAGCATCAAGCTCAAAAAAACAAGATAAAACCTCAGAAAATTAATCGAATAATCAAATCAAGCAACCCCAGTAAACTTGAAAATTTATAGGTTAGAAAAACTTAAAAGGACAAACCCGCAAACCTGAGGGCTGAGATTAAGGAGGCTGCTCCCGGCGGGTTGGCCGGCGGCGGCGGCGGCGGCAGCAGCTGAGGGTCCAACAATTAGCCGGCCTAAGATACAGAGTACAAATGTATGGACACAATATAAAATTAATAATATTGTGTATAACCAACCAAAAACTCTGAAATAAAAAATAATATTACACTCTATGGGCCGTTTGGTTGGATTTTAGCATTGGGCTTGATTTAATTCCTAATTCAGTTTCCAATTAGACTTTTGTATTCCAATTATATTCATTGTTTCCAATCGAAGTTTGGTTTGGTTTTTCAATCATGTGAGGATAAAAAATATTTAAATAAATACGAAAATGAATCACCTTGTTGTAAACACGTGAGGATAAAAATATTTAAATTTTGGAACTTCAAATGCCAAAAAAAAAAAAAACATTTCTAAGTTGTTTTAAGTTAAATTGGAATTATTTAGAGAGAATTTAGTTATTCTTTAGGTAGATCATTTGTCTTCTTAATATATTAAAAGATAGATTAACCAATAAAAACTAACCACTTATATATATTTGTTTGATAAAAAACACTATTCAAATCGCAAGTTATACACACCTAGTAATTATCAATCAATATATTTTATTTTTATATCATATAACACTAATCATCATATTTTTATATGTTCATTCACAAATTAAGATATATGCAATATTTGTTTTAAAATGATTTCTTTTAATGAATATCATTTATCATTATATTGTTCTTATACTACATTAATTTTAATCTCAATATTTTATTATTGCTTCATAATTTTTAAATTATATTTTTTTTTTGTCTGAGATAATAATTTCTTTTTTTGGGTACTAGAAGGGAACAACACAGTCGTTAGATTACGACACGTCAGTCGTATCATGTTGTAACCACAAACCCACCCTCTTAAAAGGACTATCAAAGCAGTGAAAACCACCGAGACCTTTAGCCGCCAATGAAGCCATAAAATCAGCCACGAAGTTAGACTCACGATAACCACGAACGAGCACAGTCCTCCATGACTATAATTTGTTTTTAAAAAAACTAAATTGTACACAATCGCATTATGATTGACTTGTAATAAATTCGTCTCGTCTATACCCTCTAGGGTGCTTTCTTAATTTGATTTGATTAGGGTTTTAGCATCTGGATTGGGAGCGTTGGTTGAATCTCAATAATTTCGATTAGGGTACCGGTTTTCTCCCGACAGGTCCGCCTTCAATTCCTGAAGCTTCTTCACAGTTTTTCCTTTTTTTTTTTTTTTCATTTATTATGCATTCCGGTGAGTCTGGGTTTATCTTTCAGACTGTTTATGATGCTTTTAGTTTGATCTGTTTGGCACTTTCAGGTTTCTTGTTCGTGTTTCAGTGTACGGTTTTTGGTTAAGCTGATTTTGAGTTTGACAAATACATGACAATGCTTAGATTTTATTTTGTTGCTTTCCGTTAATTTAATTTGTTGTTCCATTGAGTTGACGTTGAAGCCGAGCTCGACTCTAGCTCGAGTTTAGTCGTGCTAGAGTCGAGAGCTGGAGCATGTAGTTTGTACACACGAGTGCGTGGCGAGCCACTCGAATATACATAAACTTACCTATATACTCCTAAGTAGACATTTTTTTAATGGAAATTTTGATCCGATCTCGAGCTTCTGTATTTTTTTTGTTGAGTCAGGCTGAGCTCGGGCTTGAGCAGCTGTTATAAAAAAGGCTAGCTCGATAAGACAAATGCTTGACTCAGATCAATTCGTTTGCGAGCTGGGACATAGTTGAGCCGCCTTACTAGCAAGATTGTGCACGTTTTGTTTTGATTTTACATGTATTAACTCATTAGGTAATGCTAATAAGGCGCGAGTACCTGCATCATAATTCGCATGGTCATAATTTAACAAGAAGTTAAAATATTATATGGCATTGTGCAAAAGATTAAAAAAGATCTATAAATACAAATATGATTGGAAGTGCAAAAAGTTTGTGTGATTTCCCCTATTTATGTCTTGTCAACCTAACTCATAAAATATGATTTATTTTCCTGCAAATTTGCAAAAAGAGGTATTTTTTTCTGTTTCCCCCGGAAATTTCTCGTCTGGGCTACTCTTCGCCTGCGTTACTGACTGTTCTCTTTGATTAGGGGTTTAGCCTCTGAATTAGGAGCTTCGAATCGCAATAATTTCGATTAAGGCTCTGTTTTTCTCCTGACAGGTCCCTTCAATTTGTGAAATTTTTAGTTCTTGACTATTTTTTTATTTTTGTTATTTGCATTAGTTACCACGCCGGTGAATCCGGGTTTTCTTTCTGATTATCAGGTTTGATTATTGATTCGTGAATATGGTTTTATCTGTCTGATTATCAGTTTTGATCATTGATTCATCTATTGTGTGCTCTTATAGTGCCTTGATGCATTATCACGAGCTTCCAGTTTTTGTCTTGATTTGGTTTGTTTGCTGATTTATTTTTTATTTTTTATTTTTCCTACTCAGGGAGTTGCTGTAACATTTCAGTGCTTTTAGTTTGTTTAGAAAGATAGACACTCAGATGGAGGACTGGGGTAATTTCATCTCTTCTATATTTCTATCCTAACGACAGAGCAGCCGAGACGAGAGAATGTTTACAAATGGAGCTGGTCGAATGCGAAGCTGCCGTCAGGCTGTGGACTCCTGGCTGGAGCTGCAGAACTCGAGTCATTTATATGGGGAGAAATCTTGCTAATACCTGAATCTGAGACGAATCACGCCCGATCTTATGTTTATCACTGGTGCCCTAATCACACTTATCCTTAATTGCCAACCTTTTGTGCTAATTCTGATTTTTCGAATGTCATTTTACTCATAAATTCACTTTAATTTACGGTTCACCTGCCAAATGCTTACCGTTCGCAAAACGCCGACCACTACCACCGTAGCCAGCTTCCTCTCGTTCGCAAAAACCCTAACCACCAGCAGAAAAAATCTCACTCCGGCCACTAATAGCAGCCGAACGGTACCCAACGATGACTACTTTGCCACGATCCACCACATATCCAACATCGTCCGGCGGGACATCTACATGGAGCGAACCCTCAACAAGATGCGCATCTCACCCATAGTCAACTCGGAGCTCGTCTATCGGGTCCTCCGGAGCTGCTCCGGCTGCGGGATCGAGTGCTTTCGTTTCTTCAACTGGGCTCGGACGAACCACCCGAGCTACGACCCGACCACGCTCGAATTCGAGGAGCTCCTCCGAATCCTGGCCCGAACCCGACACTGGGAGACAATGTGGAAAGTGGCACACACTATGAAAACCCAGAATTTCCCTATATCTCCATCAGTAGTCTCGTTCGTTATCGAACAATATGGCAAATATGGTCTTATAACTCAGGCAGTCGACTTATTCAATGGGCTGAAAAACTTCGACTGCCCTCAGACGATCGAGGTGTACAATTCCTTGCTTTTCGCTCTTTGCGAGGTGAAGAATTTTCAGGGCGCGTATGCCTTGGTACGTAGGATGATCCGAAAAGGCTGTGTTCCGGATAAGAGGACTTATTCCATACTTGTCAATGCATGGTGCTCGGCCGGGAAAATGAGGGAGGCTCAAGAGTTTTTGGAGGAGATGAGCAAAAAAGGGTATAATCCGCCCGTTCGTGGCCGTGACTTGCTGATCGATGGCTTGCTGAGTGCAGGCTATCTCGAGTCGGCTAAAGGGCTGGTGAGGAGAATGAGCAAGGAAGGGTTTGTGCCGGATGTGGGCACATTCAATTGCTTGATAAAAGCCCTGTTTGAATCTGGGGAAATTGAGTTCTGCATGGATCTTTTCCGTGATGTATGTGGATTGGGGTTTTGTCCAGACATAGAAACGTATAAGACTATGATAACCATGTGCTCGAAAATTGGTAGAGTTGATGAGGCTTTTAGGATACTCCACAAGTCAGTTGAGGATGGTCACAGGCCTTTTCCGAGCTTGTATGCTCCGGTTTTGAAAGCCCTTTGCAAGAGGGGGCAATTTGACGATGCTTTTAGTTTTTTCTCGGATATGAAAGTGAAGGGGCATCCTCCAAACCGGCCTGTGTACACCATGCTGATAAGGATGTGCGGGCGTGGAGGCAGATTTGTGGAGGCCGCGAATTATTTGGTGGAGATGACCGAGTTTGGCCTGGTGCCTATGTCTCAGAGCTTTGATATGGTCACGGACGGGTTGAAACACTGTGGGAAGCATGATTTGGCTAAAAGGATAGAGCAGTTGGAGATATCTGCTCGGGGTATTACTTGAACAACCAAAAGTCGAGCAGCACTCATAATAAACTTCGAACTCTCAGTCATCAATCGAGTCTCTCAATCTCCGGAAATATGCCGGCGAAGTTTCAGTTTTCCAACCAGTCGCTGTGGTCGAAAAAATTATAAACCTCACCAGCATATGATGATACTGAAGGTGTTACCGGATATGTCGATTTCGAGTGCTTCACAATGGTATCTGGTTTTTCGCAATCCTCCACAAGACGGCGATTGCGGCGGGCAAAAGGCGGCAATCGTCAGTTTTAACAGCATTTTAACTGATTGGATAAGAAATGATTGATTTGAAAAACGTTAGCGATCAAGATTGTTTTAAGTTGGAACATCGGGTACCAACAATAAAAACAATTATAAATTTTCCCCCTCTTATTTTCATCTATATTGTTCTCTATGGTCATGAAAAATACTACTTGTTCTTTTTATAATTTATATTATATTATATTTTGAATTAGACTTTTATTACACTAAATATTTAACTTCATGTTAATTAGCTTTTCAATATTAGGATTAGGTTTATTTAAATGCCATGTTTTGCTCAACAATGGCATGGGAAAAATAGTTAGAACGGTGTATTCATATAAGATTTAGAGTGACATTTTAATATTTTTTTAATTTTAAATTCAATACTTTTAATTTTTCGTGAATTTATTATTAGTTGTGATTTCAAACACAAACTTACATGTGCCAAAAATCACCACCAAATCTCACCTTTAGACTTAGAACGTGTATACGTCTAGGATTTTTAGAAACTTTTTAAAACTTTCAAAAATTTGGGTGTATTTAATTTAATCTTTTAAGACTTTTAGAAGTATTGAGATATTCATTTGAGATTTTAAAAAGTTTTAACAAAACCACGAGGTATTTATAGTTGAAGCTACGATTTGTTGCTCACTCCCAATCTCACGTCCAAAAAAATTTATATGATTCCACTTAACTCTTAAAATTTCAAAAATTTCAAAACTATTTTTAGTGTCAAAATGTCATCGAAATCTCAAACGAACACACCACACTAAGATTTACAATGTTTTTTTTTAATAAAAACGATAAATCTTACAACTAAAAAGATATTATTAAAATATCACTCAAAATCTCAAATAAATACAACTTTTGAAATTATTTATATATGTATATATAAAAATCTTATAAGCATGCACTCACAAAATTTTTAACTAGGAAGTATTATTTTATTATTTATCAATTACAATAATTATAGTGTTTTAATATCATATTATCCCATTAATATCATATTATCCCATTATTTACCAAATGCCCCCTCGATATAAAATGCGAAATTAAACAATAACCCTAATTGACGTGTAAGATTCTCTCGTCTCGGCTGCTCTTCGCCTGCGTTCTGACTGTTCTCTCCCTCGCCCCTCCATCGTCGCCGTGCGGTGGCATCTTTAACCCTAATTTGATTAGGGTTTTAGCCTCCGAATTGGGAGTTTCGAGTCCCAATAATTTCGATTAGGGCTCCGTTTTTCTCCTGACAGGTCCCTTCAATTTGTGAAATTTTCAGTTCTTGACAATTTTTTATTTTTGTTCTTTGCATTAATTATCACTTTGGTGGATTTGGGTTTATCTGTATGATTTTCAGTTTTGATTATGGATTCATCTATTGAGTGCAATTATTGTTCCTTGATGCATTATCATGAGCTTCCAGTTTTGCCTTGATTTGGTTTGTTTGCTGATTTTCTTAGATTTTTTTTTTTTTTTAATAACTCAGGGAGTTGCTGTACAATTCAGTGCTTTCAGTTTGTTAAGAAGGATAGACACTCAGATGGAGGACTGGGGTAATTTTATCTCTTCTATATTTTTATCCCAACATTTATAGTTTATATAGATTTCTTGTATGTGTTTCACTGCACGGCTTTGGTTAGGCTGATTTGAGTTTGAGAAATACTTTTATAATGACTGTGATATATATTAACTTGATTAAGTTAACTTAATTTGAATTTGTGCTGTTAAATGCCTTTTTCAAAGAGGCATTCTCTTTCAGGCTGCTTAGAGTGATTCTTATTTTATTTTCTTTTTGCATTTTTGAACGTATGATTAAGTTCCGTTCTTAGATTTTCTTCAGTTGCTTTTCATCAATGCAATTTGTTGTTCATTCTGTTATAACCTGCGTAGTTGATGTTGTCTGATCGAGTACATAAAACCGACATCATCATGTGCCTTGAATTGTTATATGGGATATATTGTTGGTTGATTAGTATAAAAGAGGTTTGCTTGGTTGCATATGACATTGAATAGCCAGAGGGTGGTACTCTTGGGGATTAACCTTCGTTTAATGAATTAACTAAATCTGGAGGAGTTCCTTTGAATCTCAGAGTCAGGGAGTTCATAATTGATGATCTGTTGATTTTTTATATATAAATTCACACTGTTTATTATCTTCTCCTTATGCATCTCTATGCATTGGTAACATTAGTTAAAGTCAATTTTTTCTTGTTACTTTCTCTAGTAGTGTAGTTTCTTGATTGTTAAAACTTTTTGGTGCTTCAGAAGATGAGCCTATTCCTGATCTTCTCAAGAAAAAAGAGCCTTTGAAGGCCAATTGGGATGATGAAGATATCGACGATGTAAAGGAATCTTGGGAAGATGAAGATGAGCCCGCTACGGTATGTAAATTGGTCTACCTTTGCGTGCTCAATTTTAAATTTGAATCTATGGATGAAACTAAAGCAATTTTAAATTTTATTGCTTTATCAGTGTGTTAGTCGCCTCTGTTTCTTCATTACCCTTTGTCTTGCAGCATATTTTTGTTTGCACTTTTTGAATGGCTGTCCATTGTTGCTTAACGTGAAGAATCATTTTGATAGTTACAGATCACTCTTATTTGTGACTTTTCTTTATATGATTGTTCAAAAGTTTCGTGGTTGCCTGAAACTACTTCACACTCAGTACAATGCTTTTTGAAATGGATATATTTACGTTTGGCTTCTCCTTTTTCTGCAAGTTAGGAGGTTATTGGATAGGTGTTGGGTTTATTCTTTTGGTCTGCATTTGATTTTATTTTTTTCTCTCTACTGACCTCAAATTATGCTTCCAGGCACCAAAGGTTGAGTCAGCACCATCTGAAAAGGCCCCTAAGAAGGCTGCTGCCAAATCAGGTGACAAGAAAATGAAAGCTACAGAGGCTGTAAAAGATTCTCCAAAGGAGGAACCATTAGATCCTGTACAAGAAAAACTCCGTCAACAGAGGTGGGTTTATGTTGCTCGTCGTCATTGCTGAATATGTTTTTCGATTGTTAAGTTTGTTTACTTTCTGAATCATCTCATCTGTTTGCTTTGGAAATTAAAATGGATCAGGTGTAGTCTGGTATGTCACTTGTGAACTTGATCTATAGATAATCTCTTTTTGAGTTAGGACTTGAAGAATTTCCATTTTCAGCATCATATAGAGACCTTATGTGAGAGAAAAAAAAGTATATAACTGGAATTTTTTTGATAAAATGAATTGTAAAAGTTACAACTGAAAACCGTTATACCTCGCTCTAATTTTTATTCTAATATTTACGGATGCAAGATCTACAAATCGAACCATTAGACTCTTTCTTTTGGACATTAATATTTTTTATTTGGTTCTTTAGATTTAACTATAAACAAAATTAAAACTAGAACTTTAAGGAATGGGGCCTTTGTCCATTGCAAATGGCTCAATTAAATTCTAGTGCTTCTTCTATAGTGAAGTTTCTAGAAGAAAAAAATATATCAAACGACGCAATGCACCTTGGGTCGCTACGGAAACAGCCTCCTTGTATAATTACAAGGGTAAGGTCTGCGTACAACTGACCCCCTAGACCCCAACCAGTTGGGAATATACTGGGTATGTTGTTGTTGTTGTTGTTTAAGGAATGGGGCCCTCTAGCTTTGGGGCATCCTAACTCCTGAGTGGGTGGCTGTTTTGGTCCCTCAGGGCCAATATTGCAGCCACTTGTTAACTTTTCTTGAAATGGATATGGTTAAACGAGAAGCGGGCTTTTCTAATTTTTGTACAGGCTTGTTGAGGAAGCTGATTATAAAGCTACTGCTGAATTGTTTTCCAAGAAGGGTGATGATAAGACACTTGACAATTTTATTCCAAAATCTGAAAGCGATTTTGCAGAATATGCAGAACTTATTTCCCATAAACTTCGTCCGTATGAGGTTTGTGGTATTCTCTTACTGTGATATTTTATTTGGCGACTTTGATGCAAATATGAACTGGACGTCTACTCTATTAATTACAGAAAAGTTATCACTATATTGGATTGCTTAAGGCTGTGATGAGATTGTCCATGACTTCTTTGAAAGGCTCGGATGCCAAAGAAGTTGCATCTTCCATTACTGCAATTGCAAATGAAAAGATAAAAGCCGAAAAAGAAGCTAATGCCAGCAAAAAGAAGACGGGTTGGTTAAATATTCAATTTTTTGAACATATCATGTTAAGTTAGGTTGTGATTTTACTTGGAAAATTTTCTGATTAGTTTGTTTGCAGGCGGGAAGAAAAAACAGCTGCATGTTGGAAAGCCGGACGATGATGTGGTGGTTGATACATACGATGATTACGACGACTATGATTTCATGTGATAAGACACGTTTTAATCTTGAAAGACTATAAGATACCATTCTAATATATTCATCTACACCATCTGGATGAGTGGAGAGTATGATGAGGATTTTGCGGCGTGTTTTCAGTGTAACTTAATTTGGTTGATGGAATGTGATATTTGTCTCTTTTTTTCTTTTGGAATAAGAACATTTTATAATTGTTCAGATTTTGTTGTTTGTGCTTATTGGTGATCATTTCTATTCTTCCATGGAGTATTGTTACTCATTCTTGTATCTTGGATTTGATTATTGCCTATTGTTACAGCCTTGTTGTTTTCTCTACCAAGTGAGAGTTGTAGATTGTATTTTAAATATTTTACGATGCAAAAATGGCCTTCCTCCAAAGTCTAGGGCTCTAAGTCTTAATTAATAGTTGATATTAAAAATGATGTGATGTGTAAAACTAAACAAACTTTATGCCATCTTTTATGATACTGTAGCTAGCATGGTCCGTTATTTTAAAACGGAATCATGAAAAATAAAGCTCACATAGGAAGCCAATTTTGCGGCTGATTATATGGCGGCCTTGGCGTCATCCTCCATGTTAGGCATGCAACGGTGTAATTCTCCTCCTCACGTTAGGCATGCATCGGTGTAATTCTCCTCCTGCAGGGATGAGATTGTGGCTTGAGTACGACATTATCGGGGTGTCTCACCCGCGACGAGTTCTAGTCTGGTTTAGTAGTTTGGGCTTCGGTCTCCATCTTTGTACCGAAAAAAAAATAGTAATAAAAAATGACTTGTTTCATATTCTCTAAACAGTACAAGATATTCAGAGGAGCTGAATTTCAGGGCCATTACAACAGCTCTTATTAAGATAAGACAGCTATTTGTGATGTTAGACGTGTTACCACAATCTATAAAAACAAATGCTAAACAAAAACAATCACACCTGTTACTTCTTTATGTATGCCATAGCCGTAAATGTAAAGATCGTGCCATGCTTACACAGAATCAGTAAAATCGGCATATTCCCAAGTTCGGAAGCTGTTAATCTTGACCAAAAGTCGCAAGACGCCACTCGAGCAAAAATTAAGCACTTGGCCAACCCAATTACTTCTCGAAAGTGGAAGCAGAGCCGAAACTTGAGTAGGGTTTAAGATTCTAAACACCAGCAAGGCAGAAGAAACATCTAGAAGTCATCTAGCTCGATTATTTGTGCTCTTCTCTCGGCAGCTTTTTTCCTGATAAAAATGCCCCACCTTAGAGCTGCTTTTAGCTTGAGCCAACCCACAACGGCTTTACCAGACGAACGCGCGCGTTCTTCTCCGAAACCAAAATTCGAAGGCGTGATAGGGGTAAAAGCGGAATATGGATAATTATTATGCTCACTGGCACTAAACGAAGCATTATGATGATGGCCACCCATGCTGAATACGCGTAGCAGATGCTGCATATCCTCGTTTTCGAGTATTTCATGGCTCCTCACACGAATTTCATCTTCTGGTATATCATCTAAGCCCCTAAAAGGAGTGAAAGGTGTGGTCGAGAGAGGTGGTCCGAGAGCCAGCATGTTTTCACTTCCAGATGCCTGAGATTGATGGGTCGCATTTATCAGCTGGTTATGGGTGTACGAAGTGCTGTTGTTTAATGGTACAGATGCATTGATATTCGTGTTTTGTTGTTGCACTGAATATCGGCCTCCAATGTTGTCATTGTAATCTGGTTAAAAGATGAGCATTTGATAGTGAGCAGAAGGTTAAGTAGGTATACTCAGGATGAGAAAAAGGAAATTAATAGAATTTGCAGCATATTGTCATAAAACTACAATAATTATCAAAAAACAATTAAGGGCGTGCTTGGATATAGAAATTTCCACTCAACATGGATTTTTTTGGTTAACCAAGGTTAATTTGGAAAAATGTGGTATGGTTAGTTGTTAGTGGGGTTTTGAGTTTATGTTAAAATAATAGTTAAAAATAATATTTAAAGATGATTTGATGTAAACTTATGAGAGAAATGATGTGAAATGATGGTTAGTTAAAATTATGTGAGTGGATGAATAGTGAATTAAAGTTGATGCGATGTGTAAGAATGATTTATTGATATTATTTAATTATATATTGATAATAATGAGGATAGTTGAATTGACTTAAATTTTGAGTTGGATTAAGTATGAATTGGAAATTTTTATATCCAATCACGCCCTAACAGAAATAGCGACGTGCAAAACCAGTCATGTGAGAAAAATATTAATTATTAATCAGTCCAAAAGTGGACGAGTTACCTCCGATGGTCAATCCTGGGTCCATGAAAGTATGTTCGGCTGGAATTGGTGCTGGCAGAGTAGGTTGACTGAGCTGGTGAAAAGAGTTTGGTTGATGTGTTTGCATTCGCAGATCATTCTGAGATGAATCCGAGCCTTTGTTCTGATCAAAGCCCAAAAGTGATTTGCTATCATATTCTATGACGTGATTCCAGTTGTCGTAGGCCTTCTTCACCAGTGTATCCACAAAGACCTACAAGATGTAGTAAGCCTTAAGTCATCTGTTTCACTTCTCAACTTATTTTAATACTAGCAACCGAAAAAATAAATTTGGAACCAACTTCTTTGACTCAAGATCCTTTTGCTTGATGGTTAGACCATTATTAGTCATCAGGCATGACTTTATAATTAATATTTATTCAAACCCCAGTCGGATAACGCCAGTTGATGGACTCGGGGAAATAATAAAGTAACAGCATTCTGGTGGTAAAAGTTACATGAAAGCAAAATCGAAAGCATGATCTACTAAATATCATCTGATAACTGTTTATAGTGATTCGGCTAGATTATCAGCAAACCCAGTAAGATAAACGTTAAGTAGAAACTTGTTACAAGTGAGAATTCTTGATATAGTGCGAATTACCAACCTTCTGATTCTCAGAAAGAGAATCAACTGAATGATACTGTCCGCCAGCAATCAAACCACTGAACACGTAGATGTTGTTAAAAATGACGCCAACATTTCTTGGTTCATCCGGGTAGTATACATAGAGCTTTCCACTCAGAACGCAAGTCTTTGAGTGCTCCACAAGGACATCCCACATCTTATTTGACATCCCACTTCCAAGAATCTGAAAAAAAGAGATAATCCACTTATAACTCGCAGGAATATGCAAATAGGAACACCAGACCAGGCAGAAGATTAGCATTTTTTGTTATCTCACATTTCGGAGTTTCTGCGGGTCTCTCACAACATATCTCAAGAAATCCTCAACCGTGTGTATTCCAGATTTATTAAGCCTCTTATGGAATGACCCATCCTTCCCGATCTTCTCCAACCTCCAAACTTCATCAGTTAGCGCAGGAGGATAATGTTTCTTGTACACTACAAAAAAACATCAACCAGTAAAGATTCACAATCCATTATGCAAGCACACATGGAGAAAAAAGAAAAGAAAAAAAAAAAGGAAAAAGAAAAAAGGAAATCAAATTTTCTTTTCTCGGCCAAACACAAATCTTACATTCCCCTCTGTGATCCTTGACAGTAAAGGCATCCGTTTTCGCCTCCCGGATCCGTAACCCATCACAGCTACCCGAAGCAACTTTCAGGCCAAGCCGAAATTTTCTGCTCCTGATCCAGCTTGAGTTGTCGGTAAACGTCAGCTCCCCAAGTGTGCCAACACCTTCCTTTAGAGCCACTTGCAATTCCCCAGTGAGGAGTGGCCTCTTCCCCTCCCTCTCTTTGACTATGTGAGACTCGAATGTCTCCTGGCTCCAGTCCTCATCATCCTCGTTGTTAAAATCGCCTTCAAGCACGACAACATCTAGCTTGACTGAGGACTCTAGGCCAGAAGTTACGATACGACCCGTGTTTGCATCGAGCAGCACTACGTGGATTGCGGAGCCCTGTTCTCCCTCCACTTTTCCACCCGTGAAGAGAGGGAGTGACAACTTGGATTTGAATTGGAGCTGAAGGTTCCTTCCATCGGGTCCCTCAATTCTTTTCGGAGATGACCTATGCGTTTAAGGAGGATTTCAATATAATGCGAGGAGGTAGCATGGAACATAAAGGTTTAGATTCAGCATAACAAGCACAAAGAGCCGAGAGTATTTGTGCAATTTTTTTTTATTATTATTATTTTTTTTTTTAAAGAACTGGGGTGGGTGGATCATGAAAAATAACTAGGAGTAGAATCACTTGAAGAAATGGTTTAAGCCCTACCTCCCATTTAGTTTGGCAGGCCCTAATTTTGCCAAAGCTCGCTCCACTTCTTCACTAACCTGATTTACAAAAAAAAAAAATAAACAAAATTAGAAACCAAAAATGCATTGCGGTAACCGATAAAAAATTATGTCCTCAACAAATAAGATAAAAAAATGTAGGTGTTGCACGTAACCACTAGGGAATGAGATCGATTTCCATTTATTTGAGTTTAGACATGAGGAATGACAAGCATCTATGGACAAACATGGAGATTAATCTCCAGAATGACCTAAGCAGCAGGTTCATCTAGAATAATGAGAAACGAGTAGTTTTGTCTAAAAGGAAAAGTGGAAATCGCAAACTATTATATAACCGATGATAACCTCAAAAGCAATTTACAATAAAGGTCCATGAGTATATGTAAAAAAGAAGAACCAATAATGTCAAGGAAGCATAACACATATAAAACAGTTAGCTACCTCTGTATCTGTACAATTGCACAAAGATATAAATTCATTTGAAAACCGAATGGTTATACAAGCTGTTGCACATCATTAGATGGATTAAGTGAGGGAAGTTAGTGTATTAATGTTCTATATATGGAACAAATTTATTAAATGGATTACGATCTTACAACTCTCCGAAGAATCGGTTCCAATGATGAGCAAAGTTTCTGTAGACTGTCCACTTTAAGAGCCTCAACAATCACACTGCATAAACCATGAACCCCTATGTTAAAATGCCTACCGAAGTCGTGGAAGGTCAGGAAATATTCAGGTAAATTCAAATGATAATATAAAGCTTTGGCTTGGGTTCAATAGAGCATGTTTAAGACTACATCATCAACATCAACATCAACATACCCAGTATATTCCCAAACAGGAGCATGTTTAAGCATGTTTAAGACTAAAGTGAACAAATTCATTTGAAGATTATGTCTGCATACATAAACTGTATCAAATCCGTTACGCTATGCAAATTGTATGCTTATACTATTGGGATATGCTACGGTCCTCTTACGGTACCATCTCGTCGGGTGTTTTAACCATTGGATTCACGTGTAGTTAGATAACATAGATGATCCAACGGTTAAAACACCCGACGGGATGGTACCGTAACGGGGCCGTAGCATTTCCCTATACTATTACAACCAAGTTCAAACATCTCTACAACTAAACTTCTTGTTGTCACCAAAAAAAATAATCATTCTCTAGCAAGTACCAGACACAGTGAAGCCACACTGAACTTCAACTTTTCAATTCTCATCGCCTTTTAAGTGCACGCAAAACAGAACACTTCAAATCATAACTAGCTTTCAACTGAACACTACTGACCAAAGCACACAAACACACATTACAAACACATTCAATCCAAGAAGAAGTCAACTCCCAAAACCCCCCACACTTCACTTAACCACAACCACAATCAA